CATTTACTAAATGTAGTTTACAAAATTACCTGTAATGACTGCAATAAATTTTATATCGGTCAAACAGGTAGAAATCTTTTAACACGTTTCAAAGAACATAACAAAGTCAAAAATTCTGCCATTTTCAAACACATTTCAGAAACAGATCATAAAATAAACCTCAATAATATGGAATTATTACACCATCAACCCAAATCATTGAAGCTAGACTTGCTAGAAGAATATGAAATTTCCAAAAATTCAAAAAACAATGCCGATTTAATTTTAAATGAAGTTTTAGATAACAAATACACACGTTTATACCACAAATTTAAATAATCGCCCGCCAAATTTTTAGATTTATTTTTCCGCATTCTGGATTCGGCACGTGCACTAATATTATAATGTCTGTACGAACTCGCCCTTAATAAAGTAATAATAAAATAACGCTATTACACAACAAGAGGCTATGTTTCTCTTCACCATACTCCAAATTAGCTCTATTGGATTCAGGCCACAGTGATACGGAGGAAGGCGTAATACAGTATGACCCTTCGATTTTGCATACTCATCAATTACATACTGTGGTGATGGTGTTTGTACCTCCTAACGATTTCTAGTAGCTCGCATTTTAACATATGTGGATGGTATGGTATGTTCATCGATTGTAGCCAACAGATTATATCATTTTTCTTTGATGAAGAAGTAAGAGGCCTATGTATTTGTACTGAATGGTAAGGCGCATTGTCCATAACAATTATTGAATTGTCCGGTAAATTTGGTAGCACTTGTGTTTGAAACCATTTTGAAAAGTTCTCAAACCTCATTTCGTCATGATAATCACCACTTTTTGTTTTTGATTTAAATAAAAGGAAACCGTTCTTAATAAAACCCATACCGCCTCCACAATGAGCAATTATCCATTGTTGACCAGCTCCATCTTTTTTCAAAACTCCATGTTCATCAGGACCTTGCCAACATTTCGAAACAGTATAATTTTTATGTACGTAGCTTTCATCCAAATATACAACAGGTCTCTTATTTTCACCAAGTTCATCATTGACTTTTAGGAAACGTAAAGCTCTCCACGCAACACTATCATATCGCTCCATCAAATATTTTCTATTAGACTCACTCTTTTTATATTTAAATTCCATATCAATTAAAATTTTCCGTAAAGTCTTTGAATTGGGTTTCATTTACTATGAAGGCATGTAACACATTTAGAGTTGGGACTGTCCTATCAACTGTATATGTTACGGGTGATGATGTAAACCGGTCATTTCCGATATGGACCGGGCAATATCGTTAAAAGCCATTTCTGTCGATTTTTACGTTAATGGCCGGTCGGTAACGTAAATTCCCTCTAATAGTGGGCAATGTTGTTAGATGTAAAACACATTCGATACAATTAACAACAACGACTGGGCACTGTCGTGACCACATCATGTTAGACAATGATGAAAATAAGCAGGGTGTTATTGTGCTAATTGTCTGCTTTATTGTCACAAGGCAGGCTTCCATGGCATTTTGAATTACATAATATTCCTGTCGATTTACATAAACATTTCTTGGTCTTGCATTTGGTTTTGCACTGACATCGTTGGTATCCCTGAAAACCAGGGGACTAGCGCAAGCAGCAGCTTCACGCAATGTGATTTCCTTTTCTGTGGCTCCGTGCAAAAGTTGGTCTTTATCGAGAAGTTTTTCTTTAAAAGGATTGAACTGGGATCTGGTGTACTTGGATTTTAAGACACCGCTTTCTGTACCTAAAAATAAAATAATGAACTTTACAGTTTCAATTTTATTCCTAACTTACAAAGCTTGTACAGATTATCCTCAACGTGAGTGATCACCGCTAGCACATTTCGTAGCGATCCACGTGCTCTGTCAACATCAGGTACAGGAACACGTACAGTGGCCCCCACATCCTCTTCCGAAAATTTTTGATTCGATAACTTCATCATTTTTTGCGCTTGCTTTTCCAAACATTCTCTAGATTTCTTTCTGTGACTGACGATATTTTCTTGAGTTCTGCAGTGGAAACAAATTCCTTTAATATCCGTGTCGCCATCCGGTAGTAAAGTGTTGCATGTATTGCATTTCAGTGAAACCTGTGAGGCTAAAAAATATGAAAATAAGTATAACTTTAGCAAAATCTGTCTCAGTTACTTACGCTCCAAAACTTTATCTCGCTTGTTCATTTCTGGATCCGATTCTGTTTTCTTGGTTTGTTTAGGCTCTTTCATTTCAGATGTACTGTCATTATCGTCTCTATTGTCTTCTGTAGTATC